ATAAACCTAAAACTGAGTAGTAGTAACAGTAGCACCATTCATTTTCCTCGATCCTACGTGACAGACGGTCACGTGTCCTCTGCACTCTCTTCAGCATCTCAGCAAACCCCAGAAGCCAACGTTTCAGTATTTCTGACTCCAAAACTCCAAACTCAGCGCTCAACTCAACTACTCCACTTTTATACACTAAACAAACACTCTTCTCTTTTATCTTCTGTTTGAATGGTTACTTCCACTTAGACTTTCGCGCACCCAACAACGTTAATGTTAATTATATAAAGCAGAAACTCTCTTCAATGGTTCAGAAGGAAAACTATCGTTATCATTGCTACCGCATTCCTTCGCAAGAGTGACTTCAGGTGATTTCTTGATGGATGGTTCGAGTGAGTCTAGACCCGAAGCGACAGCAGTGAGCCCAAGGTCTCCACCAGGAATCCTGGATTTGTATGGGAAGCGGACACAGATGTTTAAGGTTCACGCTTTGGAGAGAGAGATTGGTTTGCTTCAGGTTCGTTCATTTTCTTCGATTTTCCTTCCGGTTGCTTTTAAAAGAATTGGAGTTGTATTTCAGTGTATAACCTGTTCTGTCTCTTTTGACTGCTAGTATTTGGTTGGTCAACTACTTAATTTGAAGAGTTTTTGGTCAAAAATTAGAAGGGTCTACTTAATTTGAGAATGTGGATTTTTTTTAATACTATTTTCGAAATTCAATGACAATACTTAATGATGATTGACGGCTTAAATTTTATTTAAGCAATGAAAGGAATTCCACTGTGTACTTCTGCTTTCGTAAATTCCTTAGTTCTGCTCTAAACATGCATGAAGATTAGGATGATTCTGGAAATACTGGTTCAAGAATGAACATTATATCCCGAGGAGTAAGTATGAGCACTAAGAGAGAGAGAGAGAAATAATTAGTTAAAAGAAAGAAAAGGGGAAATACTCATGCAGTTCCTTAAGTAAAATGGAAATCAATTCATAGCCCCTTGAGAAAATTTTTCCGGTGAATTGAACGTTCAGTGAGTGATTTAGAACAAGTGAGTCCACTGCTCAAACAAGTAGCTAGTCTTGATTTAATTGGTTTTAGCTCTATCAGCACCTTCTTTATATAAATATCTTGGACGGGACTTGTGTCAAGAATTGGTGCGAGTTTATATCTCAATTTGCATGCTGTGCAAGGCTTGCTGTGAAAGACAAATTGACCAAATCTTATTTATCCATTTAGATTGTAATGTTCCATATGTTTCGTTCATTCTTGCAAATATACACAAATTTGCAATAAGATTGCTTCAAGAGAAATTGAGAGTTATGGATATTGATGGCATGTATTTTGCATATTTCAAACAGCATCCAATGGAACTCTTTCCATTTTCTTCCATAAAGAATTTAAGTTGCTAATAGTAGTAGGATATAATGGGGGTTATATTCCTTGTTCCATTTTCTTTGAAGCATAGAAGAGAGAAACAGGGTTGTTTAACTCTCCTATCAGTGTTAATGACTTCTAAGTTTGGACATAGTATGATATTTTCTAAGGACTTTGTCTTCTGACAATGAAAGATTTATGAAGGCTATTCTTTTGATAGTAGGATTGCCGTGGGATGCCTTTATAAAATAGAAGAAAATTTATTTACAAAGAGATTAATACATGACTACCTACTTATTTGAAATTTCATGCAATCAGGAAGAATTAAAATCGGTTGAAGGCCTTCAACCTGCTTCTAGATACTGCAAAGAGTATGTCCAAATTCCTTATTGCTTTACATATTACTATATAATTAATCAGATTATACCGTATGCTTAATTTTCCAGTCCATTCTTAAGCATGCATATGTACTCTACGGTTTTAGGATCACATTTGACTGTGAACTAACTACCAATTGACAGGGTTGATGACTTTGTTGGGGCTAAACATGATCCTTTAGTAACTAAGTACATGCCTTGAATCTCTCTTCATTTCTTTTTCCTTTTTTTGTTCTTTTTCTTCAACTCTACTTATGCTGACTAAAACTGCATCATCCTTTTCCTTTACCAGAACTCAGAATATCCACAAAGCCCATCACTGCTGGAAGAACTTGTGGTACTCTTTTCTTACTTCTACTCTAGACTATAAAGTACTCTTTTATGTTTAACTTTGACTATGGTAACATTGGCTTCTGTACGTGGTAGAAAAAAAGAGTAATTCAAACGATGTGCACTATAAAATTGTTTATGATATGGAGAACTAATGTAAGAGTACTATAAATAAATGAATGGACTCTCAGTGTCATATTGATATACTGGGTTTAAGTGATTTGAAGATTGGATTGGAGCTATAGTTCCACTTGACATATATTATACAAAGGCTTTCTCATATTGACATTGAATGGATGCTTATCTTGTAGTGTTCAGGGCAACCATCTAAAGTTATATGTACTAATCTTGAGCAGGGAAAGGAGTTGTAGTTTCTCTTCTGTCTGCTGCTGTTTTAGTTGCACGTTTCACTTAAAGATGCCAAGCTTTTCCGCTTGCTGTATGTCATGTAAGTCTGAAAGCCTTCAGTGTAGCTGCTTGGAGAATACTACTTGTCTGAAATGTTACAAATGTGAGGGACATTCATGCTCAGCTTGCGCTTGCTGCTGTTATGGGCCATTTTTCCATAAATTTAAAATGGTAAATTTTTGCTGTGGTTGTACAAAAGCCTGTTATAGCTCTTGTTGTCAATAACCATCAGCACATATCTTTATTTTTACTGCAACCTTTTGGTTATCTCATCATAATTTACTGTTCAGTTAGCACCATCCAAGCTAAGTTTAATGAGGAAATTTTCTTATAAAACTTTGATCAAATACATTGACAAAGACAAGATTAACCCTATTTGTTTATATTTAGTGGTTTACTTCTCAATTGCAGATTTGTTTTGACCTTTAGTCTTTTAATGGGACACAGGAGCATTAGATAACTTGATAAACTTCATGCAAGCTTACATTGACTTATTAAGGATTGGTATAGGTGAAAAATGGTCAACTTTGAGCTCTCTATTGGAGTGGACTTGTATTGATTACATTTAGCAATGGTATGGGCCTAATTATACTGTCTGATAAATAATTGAAGTCTGATCTTGGTCATTTTATAAAGGTGCATGCAATGAAACTGCTCTGGCAGGGGGTTTGCTTGCAGGAATTCATGTTACCCGATAATATTAATTTTACTCTTTTCTCTGATTCTGCATTTTGATCATTTAGGCATTCTACAGAAAGGTAATCAACAAAAGTTTATGTATCTCTCTCTCCCTTGTTATATAAGTACAAAAGATGACAAGCAACGTAACAAGGGCGGCAATTTCATGGTTTGGGACTGAGAAAATGGGCTATTGATAGTACTAGTAGATAAACAATATTATCCAGTCTTCAATAATAGAATGAAGGTAAGTAGAGGTGCAAGATGAGGGACATAAACCTCCCATGACATACCAGCCTTGGTCTTGAATCCATTATTTCTCCTTTTTAAGTTGGCTTTGAATCTTGATGGACAAAGAGACTGCAATTTGTCTTGTTGGTTAATAAGCTTTTGTATTTATTTTTTAAAATTCTGTCTCACAAGAAACCAAGGAAGATAAGATTTCGACACCCCTGAGAAATGCATCCCATTGAATCCCACAGCAAAAATCGTTGGTTACATCTGAATCTGATCTAAACCTCACAGATAAATGGTCGTTCAACAAGTCATTCATCCTTCAAAAAGTTTATACGCCCAAAATGCTCAGTATCTACTCTCTTCTCTTAAATGAATTTATTAGTTTTGGACCCACTGAGCATTGATCACTGCTCATGAAAACAGAAAAAGATTGAATTTTGAATTATCTTCCTACTTGGTTTATGGAAGCCCATATTTCATCACCAGCATGGGCATGGCAGTGTAATGTCGTCCTTTCGAAAGGTATCGATGGTGGCAACTGTTGCATTGGTCCTACAAAGGCAGAAACGGCATCAAGCTTCCAACCGCAGAACCGCATAAAGCAAGCATGGTGATGAACTAATGTACATCGTGCACGCATATGGCTCGTTAGCTTTTATCTCTTTGAGTTTATACTTTATAAACTACTGCACTGTCAGAAATTAATAAATATCAGCCTGTGTTTGATAGTTGGAAGGATAGTGTATGCTCTTGAGTTTCGAGCGAGCAGCCACAATAAAATAATTCCCACCATTATTCGATCATTGTTTTAGATCTTTACCAACCATTTTGGGAAGAGAAAAATGCTTGGCGTAAACTATAACTTGTTTATTAGTAATTTAAGGTGCTTCTGCTACTAAGCTAGTTGAATTTGTTAGAAAAAAACCTGAAAACAAATAAAAATAAAATAAAGCAAGTAATACAGTAAGAAATTTGAATCGTGGTATCATTGTACAAAACTCGCTACAAAGTAAAAAGATTGTAGCGGTTATTTTTTAGAATTTAACAAACCCTTCTTCATAGTTTGCATAAACTACTAAGGGATAACAAGAATAACAGAAAACATTTTTAAAGAAAAAGAAGAACCTAACAGGGAAGGAAAGAAAACAAAGAAAATATGCAGAAAACAGAGAGAGTAGATGAGAGGCTTAGTGTGTGTTACGAATGAGGTAGGGAGACTGTATTTATAGGCAAGAAATGAAGTAAACATTGCACCAAATCAGGAGAATGAGTTAAACATTGCACCAAATCAGGGGCTTGAGAAAAACCTGGTCAACATGTATATTCAGTCACGTAAACATTGTAGCAAATTAAGATAAACTCAGTCAGCATGGTAGAGTTTGAGTTTGATTCAATCAATGGTATCATTGTTTTAAGGATAATTTTTATCTCTTTATAATACAAACTAGGTGCAAAAGGACTATAGCGGTTATCCTTCAAGATTCAATAAACCCTTTCTTATAGTTTGTATAAATTATTAAAGGATAACAAAAACAACAGAAAGATTTTTTAGAGAAAAAGAAGAACCCAGTGAGGAAGGAAAGAAAGTAGAGAACATATGCAAAAAATAAAGAGGAGAAGATAAGAGGCTTAGTGTGTGTTGTGACTGGGGTAAGGAGACTGTATTTATAAGTAAGGAATAAAGTGAACATTGTACCAAATTTGGAGAATGAGGTGACGTTGCACCAAATCATGGGGTTGAGAAAAACTAGGTTTACATGTATACTCAGTTAGGTAGACGTTGCAGCAAATCAAGAAAAATTTAGTCAGCATGGTAAAGTTTGAGTTTGATGCAATCAATGGTATCACTATCCTTAAGGATAATTTTTGCCCTTTTAGAATACAAAACTTGATGCAAAAAGAACTGTAGTGATTATCCTTCAAAATTTAACAAACTTTTCTTTATAGTTGGCACAAGCTACTAAGGGATAACAAAAACAGCAAAAAGTTTTTTTAAAGAAAAAGAAGAACCCAGCAGAGAAAGAAAGAATACAAAGCAAATATGTAGAAAATAGAGAAGAGGAGATAAGAGGCTTAGTGTGCATTGTGACTGAGGTAGGGAGGCAATATTTATAGGTAAAGAATGAAGTGAACGTTGCACCCAATTAGGAGAATATGGTGAACGTTGCACCAAATCAGGAGGTTAGGAAAAACCTAAGGAAAGAATATAGAGAAAAAAGAAAAGGAGATAAGAGGCTTAATGTGTGTTGTGACTGAAGTAGGAGGAGATAAGAGGTTTAGTGTGTGTTGTGACTGAGGTAGAGAGGCAGTATTTATAGGCAAAGAATGAAATGGACGTTGCACCAAATCAGAAAAATGATTTGAAAGTTACACCAAATCAAGGGGTTAGGAAAAACCTAGGGAAAAAATACAGAGAAAAGAAGGGAGGAGATAAGAGGCTTAGTGTGTGTTGTGACTGAGGTAGGGAGACAGTATTTATAGGCAAGGAATGAAGTGAGTGTTGCACCCAATCAAGAGAATGAGGTGAAGGGAATGAAGTGAACATTGCACCCGATCAGGAGAATGAGGCGAACTTTACACCAAATTAGGCGGCTAGGAAAACCCTGGTTATCATGTGTTCACATAGGGCTAGTCCACGTGTATACTCGCACGTAAGGGGAATCAAAATTTTTTCAAGGCCTAGCCCGATCTTGTGTGCGTATAAGCCCACTCTCTTTTCCTTTTTTGAAACAAACCCATAATGGGTTTGTTTATTTAAAGCACTCACACCTTTATGTACTTTAGCAATGTGGGATGTTTGAACTTTATGAAATATACTATTTTCAACAATCCTCCACATAGTTCGTAAGGTTTCATCAGAAGTTTTGCTGTGTCAAATTTCATTTGAGTGTAACGCATCGTAACTGGTTTTTTTTAAGTTATGAACCACCCATAGAGAGAATGAAACATAAACTACAGAATTTTGGTGAAGTTTATAACTTATATGAACCAAAAATTTTTAAATGAAATATAATTTTCATCAATTACATTATACCCTCACAATTTCTATTGTTCAACGCGATTTGCGAGAATAAGCATGTACATGCCTGATTATTCATAAGTGCTCTAGAGAATTTGCCACAATTCTCATAAAAGCGGTCCCACTCCACACTTGTATAGGTTGATTCTATCATGTGTATATTGCAGTTTAATACACTAGTTATAAGAGATATAAAATTCATTAAAAGCTTAACTCAACCTTTCTTGCATTACATTTTTACATTGTTCACATACCATAAGAAGGACAATACTTTTAATAGTGTATCAATTTATTAATAAATAACTTTTTATTACTCATATAAACCTAATTCATGGGATTTCCAATCATATAGGTTGGGTTACCGTTATTTATTGATTTCCTCCATTGGTTTTCGTCTTATTCCCCTCGATGTAACATTAATTAATTTTCTTCCCAGGGGTTTACTTAGAGGATAAGCCAAGTTCAACTCCGACTTCACATAATTAATGAATATAATTTCATCTCTAAGTAGCTGTTTTACTACATCATGTCTCAAACGAATGTGTCTATTTTTACCATTGAAAGTTTTATTTTTTGCAATCACTATTGCCACTTGACAATCACAATGCGTAGACACAGAAGGTGTTGGCTTCATCCCAAAAGAAATATCTGCTAAGAGATTTCACAACCAATCAACCTCATTGCCAGCCAACTCTAAAGCTACAAATTCAGACTTCATTGTAGATTTAGTAATTATTATTTGTTTGGCTGATTTTCAAGTTACAACGCATCTACCAAGGTTGAATACATAACCATTAGTAGAATTTATCTCATTTGAATATGAGATCTAGTTAATATCATTGTATTCTTCTAATACAATAAGAAATCTATTGAATAAGATGCTATAGTTTATGGTACCTTTCTAATATTTTATCATTCTACTCAAGACAGTCTAATGATCTTGATTGGGACTTTGTGTATATCTATTCAGTCAACACATAGCATAAGCTATATCAAGTTGAGAATAATTCATCAAATGTATCAAACTCCCAATAATCTGTGCATACTTATATTGAACTATACTATCACTTATATTTTTTTAATTGGATATTACTGTCATAACCTCACAGGTGTGACATCAAAATATCTAAACCTTTAAGTAACCTTTTAATATAATGCTGTTATGTTAACATTAAGCTACTATCACATCTTATGATTTTAATATCAAAAATAACATTGGCTTTTTTCAAATCTTTTATATCAAATTTAGAAGCCAAGAAATATTTTGTTTTATTGACCGCATTAATGCATGTACCAAAAATAAGTATATTATCAAGATATAAGCTAATAATCACATCACTATCAACCATTTTTGTGTATACACATTTATCAACTCCAAAAGTAGAAAATCCATTACTAACAAGAACTTGATCAAATTTCTCATTCCATTGTT